AGAAACAAGTTTGGGATCGTGGAAATTACGTACAAACGTGAAGAGAAAAGGAGGGGAGAAAACGAAATCACCTGCTGCGTGTGGCAGAACTAGTAGAGGCAACATCGAATCTTCCTTGATTGATTAAATTGATTGAGAAGGTGAAGATGTTTGATAAATAGCATCGCTGAGAGGTCGAAGCTCCAATGCAGAAATGAAAGGTACTCCCACAACAGTTTTTACAAGGCACACATGTACTGTGTTGTTGTTGGGGGTATGAATAATCTCAGTAATGTGATAATCATTGTTATTTCTAACATAAACAGTGTCCCAATGATTGACGCCAAGGTACAAGTCGAAGGTTGGAGTTTGATTTTTACCATCATAATTGCCGTAAGCAAAGTAAGCTCTGATAAGATAAGTATGGTTCTTGCCTTGTTTTGGTTTGAGGGTATAGCAATTCATTTTTCCTTCTGGGAAGCTTCTCAACGTGTTTAGAAGTCCTCCAAAATAAGGATAATCAAAGTTAATAGTTGGGAGAACAGTAGAATTTGTACCGGTTTCTACAAAGTTTGTATCTGTCTGATACCATATGCCCGTGTCCTTGTCTACGTAATCATGAGCGGCTCCACAATCAATGCTTATGAATCCTAACGCAGGATTAGTTTTAAAAATCAGATATTAGATGAAGGCATGTGAATATAACTTCACTGAAATAATCACTATGCAAAGCACATTAGGTAGCTTACCAGGATTGGTGTCATCATTGGTGGTCAGTTTCCACCATCTCCCATCGTGTTGCCAACATGAAGGAGCAGTTGGATGAGAACAAGACATAAGCCTAAGCACAGATTCATCTTTGGCGCCCTTTCCATGAGATCCGTTGCTTTCTGTCTGCCTGTGGAAGCTAATTCTGGATCATTTGTTACTACTTATGTTCTCTTTATAGAAAGATAAAAACATATATAGAAGATTATAGGTATTGAACAAAGTCAATGGTGCAAATGCATGGAAAAAGCAAGCCAAAAACGGGTCCTATATATATTTACTTTCAGTTGACCAAACAAAATAATAATAATACTGTTGTTAATCTTCCAAGCCAAAAAATCTGCATCGTCCTTGTGGATGGAGCTAATAGCGTACAAATTGCGCTCTGAAGGACGACCATTTCCAATTGTACAAGAGTGAATTATGTGCTAGTCTCGTTGCTTGGGTCGTTACGAGTTTTTTCAACTCCCATTCCAAAAGTCCTAATTCCAACGCGTTTTTGCCCTACTCAAAGACGACGTTAACTTGACCCGTGCAAATTCATTGTTTCGAATTCGCTTGGTGAATATAATTCACCAGCTAGGCGTTGTTCTCACACCAAGTACGATGGTCCTCTTGGAATCATGCCACTTCACTTTGCCTTGCTCATAACGTTAACCATACATGTATATAGTAGTATATATATCGTTGACTCGAGCCGACAAAGCAGTTTGTAGTCTTTTTCATTTTCTTTTACCAAGAATATATTAGACACATTTTTTCATATATTGTACAAAATATTGAAAAGAAACATTAAGCCTCAGGTGGCCACATTTCATACGCACCATGCTAAAAGTAAACATGAAGATGAAGATTAGCATGGTTCAGCTTTAGGAACACTCAAAAACAAGTAGAGGGGAACATATTGATGTTAAGGCATATTTTGATATTAACAAACGTTCAAGGATACTCTGTTTACCTCTTTTTTTTTGTTGGGACAAAAATCAGAGGTAAACACTGTGCTTTTACTGAGGAAACTAGAAAGCAGTAGATTAAAAATATAATACCATGCTTTATCACTTCTCCACCAAGCGCAAATCATAATAATGATAAAAATAGTTACGGCAACCATATTAACCTGACCATATTAATATTGATAGTTTATAATGTTAGTTTATTTGGGATTCCTACTCTGGATGGTTTGAGGAAAATAGGAACCCAGAAGATGGAGACGCGGGGAAGAGCAGATTAGAAGAATGGCAATTAAAAGCGGAAGGAAATCATAATCCATACGATACAATAGACATTAAAATAAAAGCATCACTAGGAGGTCTTAGTCCATGTTTGAGACTATTCAATGTTAGTACCGCTACTTGCTTTGCATGAAGGTTATGAATTTAATGTTTTATATTATTATCATATCGTTACATGCATTTTACATTGCCAAATTAATTGATGGAGGTTTTTGAAAAGACCTTGAGAAAATTTCCAACCTCAAAATTCACAATTCCATATTTCCATTGCATTTGATAACAAAATGCCAAGATCATGATGAGACATAATTAATGCCAACTGGGCAACATGCAGACGTAGTCAACCTTTCCATGAATGATGAAACAAGTCAAACAACCAAGATTACTCCTTAAATGCAAATATTAACCTCGTCTAGTCTCTTAGTTTGTACGCAGATTCACTGCCGACAAGACAAGGAGATGGTCAAGATGGCAAATTGCTTTGCCGAACAATTCATGAAGTACTTTGTAGTCCATCGTACATGTTACTATGCTTTTAAAATAAAAATGATTAATTGTATATCGTTTATGAGAGAGTCAAATCATATTGAGATAAAACTTTATAACATCTAAGAAAGACTTGGAGCTCTACTATACTCTATGGTCCTGCATTTGCATTTAATAATGAGTAAGAAATCAAAATTTAACGGCCATGGCATGCAAGTTGATGATCAAGTGGATCAAACCAGTGTTCAATGTACCAAGATTTATTGGAGCTCTACCGTTATCACATGGTTCTGCCTTTTTATTGAATGAGTTCACCTAATTTGGTTCTGACTTGGTCCTTTCTAATCAATGTGTAGCCTTCTTTGATATTATTTATATTCCTTCATTTGCTTCTACTGAAAGAAGTACTAATTATTATCCATTTCAGGAGACTTTGGTCTCCACATTTCATTTAGAAAACATGAAGAGGAAGAGCACACCACCTTGGATTCTTGCTCTGTATATGTTTGCTGCATTCGTCATTGTTTGCCACTCATCAGCACAGGCTGCTGCAGACAATGGTGATAATTCATCAGGCAAGCACTTCGCCAGCTTTTCAATTTTCTTTTCACTCACATGCAATTTCGTTCAATGTGTGTGTGTGTGTGTGTGTGTGTGTTTATGATGCTCGCTCGACTTAAGTCTTGATTAATTGGTTTTGTTCCATTCTTTATGTAAGCCTCAAACACTCTAAGCCCTTGCGGAAAAGCTTCTGTATAATTCTTGATACTAATGATGAAACCATCGTCGTGAAGAGCCATGTGCAGAGATTTACCAGTATCTTGAATCTTTAGTGAAGTTTGAGCTTGAGAGAAGAGAGAAATACAACAAAGATCCGTAATAGTTCTGTCCAAATCACTTAACCTACATCTACCGCCTAAGATTGCCACTTAGAATTTCAACTATAATCTCCAAATATAGTCAATTCTCAATTATACTAAAGATATATTTGAATATGAGTTCGAAAATGTTGAAAAAAATAACCTCTTAAAGTTTTCAAACAAATTATAAAACATAAAGAAGCTTATTCCAAGTTCGCATTAATATAGTCAATATTAACAGAAGAGTCATTAAACCAAGTAACTGGAGCCTATTAACTTAATTAAAGTGAAGTCCAAGTAATTTACCCCACCGCAGTTCATGACTTCACTTAATCTAACCAGTCTTCTTATTGTCTCATCTTAAAGGCTGAATATCAGGCTTTAACCAATACCGCCAAATTCAATGGCTTCTTTATTTGCTTTCTGATTTGCATGGGACACATCCTCAACCGGCTTGCTCTACTATGATTACCAATCTGCCTTAAAGACTGCAGCCAATCCCACTTTTCATGAAATATTTAGATTGATTGCAATCTAATGAAGGATAAAGTTCTAGCCAAAGCCATCCACTTGATGCCTCTTTTGTCTGCTGCACCATTAGCTGATATGTCTACCAAGCAGTTGGCTCTATCTCTTTCACAATAAATGTTTCCCTGACTGAGGGGTAACAGGTTATTTAGTTTATTAACGTTTTATGCCAGTTAGTTACTCAGTTCACAATAAAAGTATTGACTCAGCTTGTAAAGTACTCAACTTGAGCAATAATGATACTAAAATTTGCTTCATGTGCAGATATGATAAGCATAGATTGTGGAGCAAGCACGGATTATGTGGATGAAACAACAGGGATTTGGTATCAAGCAGACAAAGACTTCATAGAAACTGGAATCAGTAATGGAATCTCGCCGGCTCTCAAATACCAATTCGACAAAGCATACAAAGGACGACAGCTTGAAATGGTACGAAGCTTTCCGGAGGGAGACAGAAACTGTTACACTCTAAAACCAAAGCAACGCCAAAACAAAGATAACAACAACTACAATTATCTTATTAGAGCTGTGTTTGCATATGGCAATTATGACAACAAAAACCAACCTCCTTCCTTTGACCTTTACTTTGGTTCTAACTTTTGGGACACTGTTCGAGTCCCTAATGGAAGTTTCTGCCAATACTACGAGATTATACATCCTCCTATCGACATAATACAAGTGTGCCTTGTTAACACTGGACAAGGCATTCCTTTTATTTCTGCTTTGGAGTTGAGGCCCTTGAATCACACTCTCTATTCCATTTCTCTTCCCCTGTCTCTTCAGGTCCGCATTGACGTTGGCACTGGCCGCGTCCCAATTCTTACCAGGTAATATTCTTTCCCTTTTGCTACATATATTGCTGAGACTAAATTTAAACATAACCCCCTCGAACTTTTGTATCTATTGATGTTTATGATGGAAATTTAATAGTATGGGATATTAAGTTACATTACGTAATATGTGGTAACTAATGCTTCAAGTTATTTTAGAATTATTTAATTAATTATTTGTAGAATAAGTCAAAAGAGTCCCATCTAAATTGGCTTGCTTCCTAAGTCAAAAGTGTCTTATCTAACAGTGGCTGCCTCCCTAAGTCAAATTTTCTTATTTCCCAAGTTAGTACACCTATATAAAAGCATCAACTGTAGTTAATAAAAAGTGTGATCTTTCTGCCTTATGAATTGAACTATTTATTGTTTATGATTCCTCTTTCTCCAACAGTTTAAGTGGACTAGTTCTCTCTCTCTCCCCTTAACAGCTAACTTTTAGGATAAGATCATCCATCCCACTTAGGTACCCTTGATATGAGAGCTAACAAACAAGTTAATAGCAATTTGTCTCTTGTAATTGCAGAGATAATAACTGTTACTCATAACACAGGTATCAAGACGATGTGTACGATCGAGTGTGGCTGTTGTATGATTTTGACACATATTATCGTTTAAACACGTCAGCAGAAATAAGAGCACAAGATTCCAGTTATAAGCTGTCATCAGAATTATTAAGCACAGCAGCACAGCCGCGTAATAGTTCCATCCCCTTAGCATTGAATTGGATTTATGATGCATCTTTCCAATATTACGTGCTCCTCCACTTCGCCGAAATTCAAAAGCTTCCCCCTCATCACAGAAGAATTATCAATGTCACTTTTGATGATATAAACTTCATCTCTCAGCCTCTTGAATACTTGAAGCCTGTCACTCTAAGTTCCAAGATGGCAAGTAATAACGGTAATGTCCGTTTCACAATCAGGGCAGCTTCTGAATCTGACGCTCCTCCCATCCTCAATGCCTTTGAAATATACAGATACACCCCACTGCCAAATTCACCAACAAATGCAGAAGATGGTAAAGCCTAATGCTTATGAATTTGTAATTAGGTGTGTTTATGGAAATTTCTCAACAGGGTTGTTTTGTTTCTTATTGGAAATTGTATACACAGTTAATGCTATCATGGAAATC